TGTTTACGATTTCTCATCATTTCTCAAGAGCACTGAAAGTGTAAAACGTTTCGTTGTGGTAGCTTTGATTGACTGAGCTGGCACCTGGTTGCTTCGTCTAACTCCTCGGTCATCGGAAATCTCCGAATATCTTGCAATAGGCAATTTTTCTTCAATCAGCCAAATGTTTCTGAATTATGAATGAGAAGAAATAATGTTGGACAGTTATCTCTGTTCCAAACCACATCAAAAGCGAAATTACATTCTTGAATAACTACATGGAAAACAAAAAAAAAACCACTCATAATATGTAACGAATGTTGGAAAAATCAGGCAGCTATGAGCGCTGAAACTGTAGAATCCGACTTGATGTTTACCACATGAGATTCAATGCGATGTACCCTCTGAGACAATGCGATGTACCCCCTGAGTATTTCAGAGATGTACCCCATGAGAAAGCGAAAAATGTACCCCATGAGATTATACCTAAAATGTACCCCATGAGACTATGTACCCTCTGAGACTTTGTACCCCATGAGCACGATGTACCCCATTCTGATGTACCCCGGGAGAATGGGCCCCGATGAATGCATCCTAATAAGGCAAATTTCTGTTTCAGGTCGACAGACGTGCTAGGATTTTTCACAAAGCATGTTCGTGCAACACTGGCGACTCATGCAACAAATTGATTTGGCAAGAAATAGAGAGAGGGGACGCGCCAGAAGACCTTTTTGGGAACTCAACTAGCCCAGTGGGGTCATCTATGAACTCGACAAGCTATTAGCTTCCTCATCCCCCACTTTCTTCTCCACGATTAGTTCCATTCGTTAAATTTTCGCAATCTCGCCTCTTTTAAAACTATTTTTGATTACCTCCCGCTATTACCTCTCTAACACTGTTACCTCTCCTCACTATTACCTCACTATCTTGTTACCTCTCGATTTGCATCACATGAAATGAAAAAATAATAAAGTGTATTTTACTTTAAAAGGACTTCTGGAATATTTGAACAAATGTCCTACAGATGTACACGGAAAACTTCATTTTCCGATAGTTTAGAAAATTCTATGAAAAATGGTTCCACGACTTTCAATTTTTCAAGAA